AATTGAAATAAGAAATAGTTAAGATAATATACAGTTATGAGAGACAATAATTTGCGCTCGCCTTTCTAATTCTCTCTCTTTGATCATTCAATATTTCTTTAATATTTGCAAGAACATTAAAATATTTATTTGAGAACATTAAATTTGTAAATTTTATTATATTATATTATAATAAAACTTGTGGATATCCAGATCGTATTTTTAATTTTAAGACTTCTGATTGGCCATCATAATATAATTATCATGTGAGTGCATTTATAGAAAAATTTTTAATATACGTGGAACCCAAAATTATTGCATATGCAGAATATAAAGGGTGTTTAAGTTCCAAGCTTGGGACCAGGCTATAGTGTGTATGTAGAGAGGGTGTGCACTTATAGAGGGTGCACTTATAAAGGTTTTACTGTATTATATTACTTATATATTTAAATGCAGCCAATGGCTCTTCCAAACCTTAAAATATTAAACACATAGGCAACTCCCTCTGGACTTGTTGCAGGATATTCGATAGGTGTCAATGTATGATTAACAACATGAGATGTTAATTCTTTTGTAAAATAAGTCACTGCATTTTCATCATTTATTTCATATGCAATTGCCGAATCATATTTAGTATCAGATTCTTCATCTGAGGTCAAGCTCTATTAATTATTACGTTGATTAGAAATTTAATTAAAATATTTTAATTTTTTAATATTATAAACTGTTATTTACATCAACAGTTCCAACACTTTCAAAGCTTTCCAAACACTTAAGACATTCAAGATCCTCTTCATAAATCGTCTCAATTCCATCAATAACTTGAATAGTAAAATTATCCATACTTTATTCTAAAAATTATATATTATAGTTATCTTTAGCTAACTAGAATCCCAAAATTTTAAAATACATATTTTTAAACAGCATATTTTACCCGTTGAAAAATTGTAGGTAAAAGAGAATCCCAAAAATATTGGTATAAACATTTTATTAATTAATACCATATCATTCGAATAATCATTCTTCTTGAAATATGTAATCAATTATTCTTTATTACAAACTTTTAATTAATATCGACAGATAATCAATCTTCATGATCATATATATGTAATCGATTATTCTTTATTACAAACTTTTAATTTAATATCACGAATAATCAATCTTCGTGATCATATATATGCAATCGATTAGTCTTTATTACAGACTTTTAATTTAATATCGACGAATAATCAATGTTTAATCGTCATATATACGTAATCTTAAATTACGTATTTATCACTATATACACATAAGTATGATCGGTATAATAGTTTTACTACGCACAAGTATGATCGGTATAATAGTTTTACTACGCACAAGTATGATCGGTATGATAGCTTTACTATACACATGAGTATGATACTCAATTATAATCCTACTCAACTACTTTCATACCTCATACTATACTACTTTAGGTATCAATCATAGGATACCAGTATATTAAAATAAAATAAGATTCAACCCGAATTTTTATCATACGTTACTACATCAATCATCCATATCCCTCGATCAAGTTTCAGCAATCCTGTAATACTAATACATTTACTTTAAAAAATTTTTTTATGTTGTATGACTCGGAGCTATATAAGCCAATCAAATCGAATACCCACCATGCTGTTCGAAATAAAAGACTAACATGTGATCGTTTACTGAAATTGTGGCAAAAATAATGTAGGTTTTAAAGCTCATTCTTTACTATATGCTAAAGAAATATTAACCGTTACTCTTTTATAGGGGTCGTTATGTCCAACTTGTAATGGGGCCTGCGGGCTCAGGAAAGGTTAGAGGACTCGAAGTTTTGACAATAAGCGGTTGTTTCAGAATTTAAATTGTTCGCTGCTTATTTACCTTGATTAAAAAATTATACATGGTAGTCTACTTATTGCGCTACAATGATGGCTCACTGTCAAAACATAGGTCGTTCTGTACACTTATTTAACCTTGATCCAGCTGCTGAAAAATTTGAGTATAATCCTACGATAGGTATTATTATTATTACAATCCTTTGATAAATTTATTATTAATAAATTGGATCAAGAACCTTTAATGTATTTGTTATTATGACAAATTTAGACATTCGAGATCTTATTACTTTAGAAGATGTTATGGAGGAATTACAATATGGGCCTAATGGAGGATTGATATATTGTCTCGAGTACGTTTAATTACCAAAAATTAATTATCGAAATTTTTTTTTATAATTAATAGTCATAATAATCATAATCACATTATAAGATTTTTATTAAATAATATGGATTGGTTGGAAGATGAATTGGGAGAATATGAGGATGATTACTTGATTATCGATTGTCCAGGTATGTATTAATAATAGTATGTCAATAATATATATATATTTTCTTTTGCTAGATTTCTCTTTTTTTTTTTTGTTATGCTCAATTTTGTTCATTTGCGACTCGCTTTTCTAATGATAAGGTCAGATTGAGCTTTACACACATTTTCCAATTATTCGCCGTATTTGTGAATGTTTGCAAAAAATGCATTTTCGTATTTGCGGTGTTTATTTGTTGGAGAGTCAATTTATACAAGATAATTCGAAATTTTTTGCTGGAGTCTTGAGTGCAATGTCTGCAATGATTAGTATAGAAATACCACATATAAATGTTCTATCAAAAATGGATTTGTTAGGAAAGGTCAAAAAGAGAGAATTAGAAAGGCGAGCGCAAATTATTGTCTCTCATAACTGTATATTATCTTAACTATTTCTTATTTCAATT